GGTAATAATAAAACTATGTGATACAATCGGGGAACACAACTTGCATCTTGATGCCATTTGGCCATGTGTACACTCAAGTGTTTAATCTGTGTATTATTGTAAAAATAAAAATAAAAAATCAATTCCTACATTACAAGTTTTTACCTAAATTTAGGCTATAGATGAGGACACATCTATCTTGGGCAGATGCACCAAGGATTCTAAAAGTTTCTTACTAACTAATCCATATTTTTGCGCCTGGCCTATTGCTTTCCAATTTCAACATTTTTTTTTTTTAAACACAGCAACACTCTAAAGACTTTCGAAACAAGCCTTCAGTTGCTAGGCGAAAGGTGTTAAAACTCTAAGTCTAAATGCTTGCGATCGAGCGGCATGAAAATTTTAGCCCTCACCTTTTCACTTTTCATATCACCCTGAAAGAAGCTGCTTGGTCCAAGTGAAAGCAGATTTCAAGACTTGAGACTTGACTTGAGCGAGACTTGCATCAGAAAAAAAAATCTGTTATAGTCTTGAAATTGAGAGCTATGAGGCTCCCTGAAGACCTTCCGTGAAAGCTGCCAATTTTAGGATGATAAAAATCTGTGAAAATAAATAAAACATGGAGAGGTAGCTCTTGTAGGTATGTGCACTACGTATCTAACAGATGTGTTGTCATGTTTCAGTTTAATTTATGAAACATACTACCAAATTTTTTATTCAAAACGGCTTTACAATGATGGCAACTGGTCAGAATTAAATCAGCTGTTAAAAATATAGCAGTAAAGTTTGAAAGCTATAAAAACCAAACTATTTAACAGAATGACGAAGGACGGTAGGATAAATTGAAATTGATTTAAATTTAAAGCTATTAAATTGATGCTGCAGAATGACAACCCAACTTTGAAAGGAAAATGTTCAAAGACTGTGAGTTTAATGATTTTTATTCAGAGACTGAAGTAACATTTAACTCTGACTCCTTTATTCATTCTTGATGTAAAGAACTCTGGTGAAAAGGCTTTGGGGCATATTTTAGTCACTAAGGTTATTTTTCCACCTATTTTTAATTCATAATGTTGAGCCTCACCATAGTAACTAATGGTTCTTGAATGTGCATAAAGACGATTAAAGTTGTAATTGTGCATTATAATCACATTGCCAATGACTGAATAGCACCTTGACAGCAGTCCCTGTCACTAAAATGGGTTATCTAATAATTATGACCTGGAGAGATGCTTTCATTTCGAGCTAAGAGGCATTTTAATCTAGCACAGAAAGTGCCTGTGCCAGGTACTCAATCAATAACTCAAGCCTGGAAAAAAAGCCTTATAATGTGATATATAAGGCCATTCCTCTTTGCGGGGACTTTAGCGAGTATAGAGGCAGTCTGACATCAGTATTGTACACAGGGCATTGTGGACAGAACTAATGGGAGACTTTATTGATTGTGTGTGCTGTAATCTGTCAATCCAGACTTGTCCAGCTGTGGCAGGGTGCCGGGTTTGCTCTATAGGGTCATCTGCAGCCATCTGCTCTTCGAAACACACTCACTGTATTCACATCTTTTTACCACAACCCCTTCCAAAAGGATATATTGCTACAAATGAGAGCTGAAATTGATTTAACTGGAAATACGAGAGGAAGAGAGGAAAAGATAGAAATCAAGTGACTACATATCAGCTGTCAGACACTGTAGCTCTAAAGGCAATTCTCAGATTTAAACCTAATTCAAGTTGACCATTAAAAGTCACTGTTTATTCTATCTAGATTAGACTGCAAAATTGTACACTTTGCTGATTTGTTGGTCAGGTGATGATTTATTTTCAGCCATCCATTTAGCCATTTGTTGCTTCTTATGTGGCAGTCAAAGCAGAGATACCCAGATCTCCCTTTGCCTGTGCACCTCCCTCCTTCAGCTCTTCCTGGGTTACACCAAGGCCTTCCCAGCCACCCAAGATATGCAATCTCTCCAGCATGGTCTAAGTTTTCTCCAGGGTCTCCTCCAAATACCCAAAGTACCTCACCCAGGATGGATCCCAAACTACTGTCTGGCTACTGACTACTGCTTTTGATGTGGAGTAGCCACCTCACACTGAGTCCCTCCTGAATTGCTGAGCTCCTCACTCTGTCTCCAAAGGAGAACCCGACCACACGCTGGAGGAAACTCACTTCCATCCCTCGTATTCATGGTGTATTTCTGGTCACTACCCAGCGCTTGTGAAAACACCTAAGGGTAGAAATGTAGATTGAGTGGTGAACTCATTAGATTTGTTTTCACACTGAAGTTTCTCTTGAGCTCTCTTTACTGCATAGACAATATGCAAAGACCAGTGAACAAGACACCCTTTACCCAGGGACGTAATTTCCAGGGGGTTATGAGCCCCCCAATAATCAGACCCAACCAAATAACCCCCAAATAAAATTATGATTTATCTTGCATAAATCGGCTGTTGATTTTCTTTACTCATTTCCGTTATTACCAGCAAAATAGTTGCATGTTTAATCATCTGGGAATTTACCCAGATTTATTTATTTATTTATTTAGATAGAGATCTTGACCCCCCCCCAATGTTCAGCACAAAGTTACGCTGATGCCCTTACCTCTTGACAGTGCCAAGAAACTCTGTTAATACAAATTCTTAATAGGATTGGTAATTTTATGTTTGGGAATGAATGGATTAGCCTATTAGTCAAGTTACCTGTAACACATAATCAATTACTAATTACTGACTAAAAAATTTCATTCACTATATTACTGATAACATTAGGCTCCTCACTCTGGTGTTCTAGAACAAAAACAAACAAAATTGATCTATTGATTGAATTTAAATGTGTTAAGTGTAGTCTTAAATTGTAAATTTCCCATTTTTCTGTAGAGTGTATATAAAAGATCACCTACTGGTTAGTGAAGTCCTGTTGCTACGCTCTAGCTGAATGTTTCCACCGTCACCATCTTGGTGTTTTAAAAATGGATGTGACAAAGGAAGCGTGGATTTGACTGACTGATACAGTAATGACTTGTTAATTACGCCCTTAATGGGCACCATAATTTACAAAATGAGCTTCATGTTTTAGTCAATAACATGTGACACTAGACATTGAGACCAAAATCTTGTCAGGAAAGTGTTAACTGAGGTCAAAAATTAAAGGACCCTAAAGGGTCATTTTCCCATACACTTCTGCACAACAAGACTGGCTCCCCACTGTCTTTGATTTTTCCATTACTTACTGCTAGTACTATTGCAAGTTTATGATTAAATATTTGAAAAGCTGATGACATTAAATAGAAGGATTCGCTTTCACGTTCAGTGCTTTCAACACCATGACAGGTCCAGCATTACTGCACTTTCTGCACCAAATCTGTCAACTTTCCAGTTCTTTCCTCCCCCATTTTTGAACAATTCCCTCTGTGAATGGCCACTTTATTATATTTGTTGGTTTTGTGTATTCCAGTGATAACAGAGCAATGCTGTCAGGGATAATTTGCCCCTGGCAGGGTCTCAGAAATCAAGCTGGTCCTGCGTGATGGGCCAGACTAAGTGCGATTCAGAAGTTCTCTACGATGGATACAGATGACTACATTTTGCCTGTAACCATAGATGGGGTTTGCCAGGGCCCCACCCTAGAGTCAGGCTTGGAGGAGGGGCTCATTGACGAGTGCCTGGTGGCTGGACCCACTCAAATCAGCCGCACTGGCAAGACCTCCTGTAGATGACCCAGCACTCTTAGGATGGGCCATAGAGGTCTGGTGCAATGTGGCTCAAGCAATTTGTTAAAATGTTCTAGTTGATAGTAAACAATGATGGTAAACCCCACAGATGTTGCATCTGTTAAGAATCTCCACAATATCCCTGCTGGGAGCTAGTCAGACTACACTTAACACAACTTCACTAACCTGATAAATAAACACATCTAATAATGTACATTTTCTGAATTAGCACGTTAGCTTCTTTTTGGCCTTTCCCCCCGCTAATATGTGGTAAAATAAAGAATTACTCCTATCTGAGCCAGCTTTTTGAGTCAGGATTATGCCGATATCTGATGCAAACACTGCATCAGCACAAGCCTCATTATGAGTACACTATCTGGATGCTGATCATGCTTTTCCACGTGAGCGCAGAATATCAAATACAAGAAGTATATTATGTGAACAAGTCTATGTCAGGCACAGCACTGCTACTTTTTAATGTTTTATATGCAAACTGCAACTTGATTAAATATAATAATTCAAAAAAATACTTAGTTGTCAACAGAGTTAAACCTTAAAAGTTGTATCCGGTTTAGTGTAAAGTTTAGACTTAGCAATTATCATTTAAAAGTCAGGCAACCACAATCCTAGCATAAGTAAAATAAAATTAAAATGAACACACTGGAAAATTCCATATAAACAACAGTCAAGTGATTAAAGGTACTATTGTTTCAGAAAATATGTTATTTACCTGAAACAAAAGTTTTTTGTTTATTTGGAAACACTGGCCTATATAAAGCACTCAGAGACAAACCCAGAGCCCTACTGGTGTTTGCCAATATTCCATTGATTGCTTATGACTGACTTTTCCATAGATGAACACGATATTTTATGTAACTGTGTGGTTTGATGGGACTGCTGTTCTCAGCTTGCTCACTCTGTGGGCTCAACAGAGTCACACGCAGACGTATTTTATTGTAGCGTTAGCTCGCTCCTCCTGAATATCTGCCTCTCTGTTGGCATTTGTATCAGCGTCTCATTTCTCTTGCTTATACATATCTGTCCGTCTCTTTTTCCTCACAGCTTTTTCTCCTGGTCCCCATAGATCTCCCAAACACTTTGGCTCTTAACTGCTCTCTCCCCCTATCTCTTTCTCCCACACACTCATCCACCATCTTACGTCTTCTCTCTGGTGTCTCCATAAGTGCCAGGCCGTAGCGTTCCTGGAGTGACCTTGGGGGGTAATGAGCTCCTGATCACGAGTCAGGAATCCCGGCATTCAACACCCAACCCAACACCCTCCCCTCACCCCATGTAACAGACACACAAAAAAAGAAAAAAGTCTACACTGCTATCGAATGCTCAGCCCACAAAGACAAATAGTATTGGAGAGGCAGGGCAGCAGGGCAGAGGTGCAGATGAAAAGAGCCTGGAGAAACTATTGCTTTAAGCTCTGAAATACAACTACCAGACCTCCAAAACAAAGTAAGTGGATTCCTTTTCGGGGTCTACACTTATTGATATGTAGCTTTTGGGGGGTGATACAATGTTGAACTGATTAACAGAGCAGTAACTTGACGTTATCATTTGTATGATTTTTGGTCTTTTTGCTCACTCTGTATGTTTGGGATGGGATTTATATGGATTCAAGGACTGCTAGTATCCATCCAGCTTGTTTTCATATGGCCTTAAAACTTGGAATAAGTAAAGTTTTTGTAAAGTTGCAAAAAAAAAAAACTCAGCAAAAGTTTCTGCTCCAAGCACAACACTTTTGCAATTGTGCATTTTTCTGATATTTCGCCTTTTGGTAAAAAAAACAAAAAAAGCCCAAACAAACAATAAAAAAAACAAACTTCTGTAGACATGGTCCTAATTGATTCTTTGTTGTTCTTCCCATTTTAAGCAGATTTTGTCTTGAGGCTGTTGATAGGAGATAATAAACATATGAAAATATAAAAGACTATTAAGCTTAAAATGCTGAGAATTATAACAGCAGATGGAAAAGTGGCTTGTAGACATACTGTGTAAACAATTGGAAAGACCCAGTAATCCAACAGCCATGGGCTACAGACTTTGCTGTTAAATCATTAACAGGCCCTCTTTCTCAGTGATTATACTTCAAACATCCATATGTTTTGTTTATTACTGCTATCAGCCAAATATGTGTTGGCCCAAATTAAGTCTGCCTGTGCGTGGGCACTGATTGAAGTGGGCTACTTTTTCCCAGGATGTCGTAATTTGGGTCAGGCCTGACTGGAATGACAAACCCAGAGCTGCTGTATTGTATCAGCACTAAGTGATCCAGAAGACCTTCTGCTTGCGTTGCCATGGCTTTCTTCAGCTCCGGTATAGCAACCCGAGTCAGACCAAACAGTGTTCCTCTCTGTCTTATGGGCATTCCTACTGTGGACAAAAGCTTTCTCTGGCTCATTCTTGCTCGAAATGAGGTGTCCGCTTCATTTCTTCAGAATCAACACATGGTGTGGTCCTAATGAAAGAGCAGGGGGAGATTAAACATGAAGTGGAGATGAGCTTGAGAAACCTGCTTTGGTCTGTAGGAAGTCAGAACACAATGTGGATTAAGCTGGATGATAGCCAGCAGGGGCAAACTCATAAAACTGCTTCATTTCTAAAAGAGTCCTGGCATTTTTTCTCCAAGATGGCCACTTGGAGGCCTTTAAGAGACATTTCACACATTCTGCCCTTTTTTCTTTTTTAAACGTTTGACCCCCAGACTTCACCACATGATGTCACCTATATGTCAATGTGTTTAAGCACAAAGCCAGTTCATTTCTTTCAGTATCCTTACAAATGCTTTGACGAGAAAGTTTTCCGTGAAGGAGCTGGAGCAATAAGGCATAGAATTACTCTGTTAGGGCCAGAGAAGTTCGCTCCAGGGGGGAGGGAACACTGTGAATGGAGCCAGTTCTCGTCTATAGGGCGCAAGTAAATGAGTGAGAGAGAGATGGAGAAAGAGGCTAGGGGGGTAAGGACATACACAAAGATCCTCACATTGAGTGACTGGTTTATTTTTGTGGGGTATGCACTGACCCCTAACATGTGGGATGTACAGAATGAGACTTGATGGGGTCCAGGGGCCCTACGGAGAAAGGGAGGAAAAGAAAGAAAGGGACTAGAAGAAAAGAGGAAAGGAAGGATGCCAGTAGAGAGGCCTGTCAAGGAACTGTCCTAACCATCAATCTCTAAAGACAATAGGCTAGAAGTAAAATCTGCAGTAAAGCAGAGCTGGAAAAAGCAATCATGTGACCCTTAAATGATTATTCTGGTGCCCACCTCTTGGAAGTAAATAAATCTGGTTAAAAAATCCTTCGTGTTTTAAAAAGTTAAACACGAACTATTAAATATTTCCAAAGGTTTGGTTATTACAAGTGGCAACAAAATAAATAAAAGCAGCAGAACTGAGGCATATTTGATTCACACTGCCTTATATGGGTAGCACTCTAGAACCACTGGACCCTACAGTTGACGCAAAGCAACCCATTACTCTGTTAAATTCTCCCTGCCCCTGTAGCAGGGATGAGATATTATCAACTTAGCCTCAAGATTAATTTTTTACCTCATCCTGTACTTTGGGTTCTCAGGCAAAAGTATTGGTTTGCTCACTATCAATCTTGCTGCTGACCACTCATTCTTTAATCCTTGATAGTTGCAATTTAGTGCATTTAAACATTTAAATATTTGATAAACTGACTGTTGGGGCTCTGTGTGCGGGCAGGCAGAGGTGAGGATCCAAATGCAGGACTCGTGGAGACTGAATTGTAACTGAAAACCAGAGCTTTATTGCTGGTGATGAACAAAACATTAACTGAACAATGAACGCTGAGAACGGAAACAAACAGGCACAATCTGAGGGTACAACACGTCACTGACACAACACGGGGCTAAAATACACTGAAGAAGTCATCAAGGAATTAGAGACAGAAGGGGAACACAGCTGGGAGGAATTAGACCTAACGAGACAGGGGGAGCAAAGCTAGAAACACTGACATCATAGCCCTTCAAAATAAAACAGGAAACAATTCAAAAAGACACAGACTAAGAAACATGGTCTTTACACAGAGTGAATACACGGGCAGAGAAGACTAAGCACAGAACTAAACCTAAACTAGACATGAGGGTACAAAATCAAAACGTAAGAACTAAACCCTAAACCAGAATAAACTGAAATGTAGATTTATAATAATTAAAACAGGATAACTAAAGAATCAGACATAAATCAGAATACAGAAGAATACCAAAAACATAAGAAACTGAAAATGCTGGGTCAAAGTGACACTGAGTAGAGAGCTCTTGCTATCACATTTCCTGAGTTTGTTGGTTGTTATAGCTTTTTTTCTGCAGTTGTGGCAATACAAAGTTACTGCAAAGAGCCCACCTTTTTGGTCTGTCGGGTTAATAATCAAGAGTGGAAATGCTGATGTTCTCACAGAGATGTCAAGCCAGCACCTCTTTCAATATAGGGAAGGGTGAGACAATCAAAGCTGTGTACAAAACCTCTAGGTTTGTAGGGGGGTTGGTCCCTGTTGTCTAAGGAAGCTCAATGAAAGCGCTATGAATGCTTTTTGTGGAAGAATTCAATTACACAAGCCAGTGTTTGTGTTTGTCCATAGTATAGAGGCATATTATGAATTTCTTGGTTTCTTTTTGATCACAAGCAAGTTTTATCATCTGATTTAAAAAGGTAAAACTTTCCATCTTGCTATTTGTACAGATTTTGAAGTTTTTCAGTGAACCTTTGTGGCCAGCCTCTTTCTCTGGCATGCTGTTGGTTTGATCTAGTATTTGATCCTCTGAGAGCTAATGAAAACCTGAGGCTTTCCACTATAATCAGTTGGCTCATTAGTGTTCCACTCAGTCACAGAGCCACCCACGCACACTTACACACATGCACAAATACAATCTCTCCCCAGGCCCCTCAGTCAATGACTAAAGGAAAATAGGGCAAAGGTCATATGGCTGGGTGTGAAATTCTGTACTTGCTGAGGAAGTAAACATGCAGCTGTGATGTAAGACTTAATTGGATGCATTTGTGCAGCTGTGCTAGCATTGCTGGTATTGTTTTTACCTTGTGAGCCATGTATTTATCCTCATAGCAAATCATGGCATGCACTGTCATAAAACACAATACAAATGTAATTTGAAGTGCTTTGGAAGGTGTTTTTTCACTTCCCTGACTGTCTGACAACAAATTGTGTAACCCAGCTTTGTCACAATCTTGTGAAGTCCTAAGCCAAATAGCACTCTTAGTTATGTTTGGTTGGCGGGAAAAACCAAAGCTCTGGGAGAAAATGCAAATTCACAGCCTTCACACCAATTCACACCTTGCTAGGGAATAAACCCCAAATCTGGTACTTACAACTGTAAGAATGTTTTTACGTGTGTGGCTTCTGCAGGTAAAGACAAGGAGCTCCAGAATTCAAGCTCGAGAAACGACGACTACCGGGAGTGCGCTGTACTGTCAGACAATAACATAGCCTAGCATCATTTCCCTCTGATTTTCTGTGCCCAACCAGATTGTTAGAGTGCCCCTACTCCAAGGCAACTTGGGTTCAACGTAAACATGAAACAGCCACTTCCCCGCTGTTTTAAAACCCCTGGTTTGCATTAGCCTCTGAAAGGGTCCAAAAATACAAACAAAACACACAACACCAACAAAATAATAAAAATAAAAGGAAGAAATTCTTCTCAGAGCGCTAAAAAAATGAGGATAGAACTGTATGAAACCCTCTTTTAAAGGCCAAGGGTCTCCAGATTACATGAATTCACTCTCCCCTCTAGAATTATTAACACTGTATCACAAACATAACACAATTTACAATGTTCACAAGGAAATAGTCCCAGTTTCTACTAGTCAGACCCCCCAAAATGGCCTTTGAATATGAAACCATATACAGTCTCTTCTTTGAAGGTGTAACTGTAGTGAGAAGGAGATAACTGCGGGGTTAAGCTGACCAGAGGTACAGGAGCTGGAGTGAGGAATCAAGTCTTGGGTTCACAAAAGCAAAGAAAATAGAAGCCATGCCTTTGTGTCTAGGTGAAAGTGCGCGGGAAAAATACTGGGCTATGAGAAGGCAGCGCTTTCACATACAGCTGAATGAAGGCGGATGAACAACCAGGATGTCATCTGGATGGCAGGGTAACCCGTTCACCGCTGACTCACTTTGCTCTCGCCGTTGAGTCCGAAGAATGTGCTCAAACTCAGACCAGCAATGGGCAACATTAAGTGAAGTCGCTAAAGCCCTCCAAGAGACATGTTAGCTTCCAGCGAGGCAGCTAGCCAGAAAAGCACAGCTAAGCTTGGGTCTCACTCCAACTCCCCATCACCACGCTGTCTCCTTCCACGATGGCCTGCAGCACCAAACGTTGTGGCTAAACAAGCCAAGCTTCCCGCATGGAGCGAAACTCCATCTAAACTTGCTGCAGTCGCAACTTCTTTTTTGACTGACCTCTCGGATCTCCTTTTT